TGTAAGAGAGAACCATGTGACTTTTGACACACCTACTGCAGCAGCCCTTTTCAATTATAAAGAAATGGAGTTCCTCTTGCCTGTTTTTCAGATGTGTTTATTTAAAAGTTCTAATTGGCATATATTCATTATATTTCATAATTTGTATTTCTACAGACCATTCCCTTCAAGGGTATTACTTTGGCCATTTTCACCTGCCTTCTCTTTCTCTTTCCTGTTCCACAGCTCTCTGTCCTTTCCTCATCTCCCTTTTTGCTACTTAGCCTGAAGCCTGTAGCCTGAGACTTCCTCCCGCCTCAGCCTCCTGAGTGTTGAGATTAGAGGTGCACACCACCAGACCCAGCTTTCTTTTACTTTTAAAGGACCTGTCACTTACTGGGCAAAACAAACATATCTTTTGTTTTCTGTTTGTGGTTTTGTTTTTTGAGGCAGGATCTCTTGTAGCTGAGGCTGGTCTCAAACTCTCTCCATAGCAGAGGCTAGCCTTGAACCTCCTACCTAAGTACTGGATTACAGGTGTGTTTGTGCCACCATGCCTTGTTTCTGTTCTTCCTTCTCGAGTATATTTTCTTCTATTATATCAATATTAATACAGTTTTAAATACATTTAATTTTTTATTATTTCAAAAAAGAATATAATATGTTTTGATCAAATCCACTCCCATCCCTTCTGCTCCAATTCCTCTCTGATCCCATCCACCACTTTTCCCTCCCAACTTCAAGTGCTCTTTACAAAAAAACAAGTACATGCACTGAGTGCTGCCCGAATTAACCATCTTCTACAGCACAGCTGACTCTCAGAGGCCAAACCCTTGAAGAGAACTGGCTCTCCCTATTCCAGCAGCCAGCAATTGCTAGTAACTCCTCAGCTAGTGGTGTGATTCCATGAATCCCTTCCCCATTTATATGGGGATTTTATCTGATTGGATTTTAAATTTAAAATTTTTATTTTATTTATTTTTTGTTTTTTCCAAGACACAGTTTCTCTGTGTAGCCCTGGCTGTCCTGGAATTCACTCTGTAGACCAGGCTGGTCTTGAACTCAGAGATCCACCTACCTCTGTCTTCTGAGTTGCTGGCATTAAAGGTGTGTGCCAGCACCACCACCAAACCCACCCTTCCTTCCTTCCTTCCTTCCTTCCTTCCTTCCTTCCTTCCTTCCTTCCT